TTTTCTTCTAATGTAAAAAAGAGTACAAACATTCTCATTTTACACTATCTTTTAAACGGAATTTTACAGATGCAGCACAGTAAACACATAGGTTATATGCCTGCTAGAATAGGACCTCTGTAACCTCTGTAAAAAAGCAGTGAGAAAAGCCCCAGTCTTCCTTAACAATAAGACCTGTACGACTGTGGAAGATGAAAGCTGGACTGTCAGCCCCACTCTTCATCAGGAGAGGGTAAGAAAGAATACTTTAAAACTCCTTTCAACAAATGACATGTTAATACTATGACATTTTTTTTTCTTTGTGGTCTCTGCCACAAGAAGCAAGTTGAGTTCATTTAAAACAAGTTTATTTACAAACCTGCTGTAAGAAATACCAAGAAATATCTGTTGTACTAAATACCACATTTAATAAGATGGCTTTGAACTGATTTCTAACACTCTACACCATTTTTAAAATATCCTCCATCTATCTTTAAACAGAAAATTATTCCTATTAAATTAAAAACAAAAGGTACAAGAACACCACTGTTGGATGAAGCAGAGGTTGCAACAAGACCTCTACAAATCATGTGAACAATTCTTCTGTGAGAGCAGGAGAAAATATTGACAGTGAGTCATCTGCAAGAAAAGTAGCTGTCAAGAAAGTATTCCAAATCAGATAGAGAACTATTACTTACCTTGCTATCAAGAAAGACTGACATTAATGAGTAGTATGTACTAGAAATTGCAAGGTTCAAAGAAGTGAGAACCCCGCACTCAGCTTCGGCCCCTGTCAGTCGCTCCCTGACACTGACCCTGTGCACACGGCATCATCCCCTGCACGCAGTTCAGGAGGGAATGTCCCTGATCCCCAGGATCCAAACCAAACCCTCTGCATTCCAGCCACCCTCCCATGCATCCTCCCTCTTTTCCTGCTTCCCAGGTAGGACTGCCAGGCCTTCCTCGCAAGCATACTTTTCCTTTCCCTCCCACTGCACTGTGTGTGGCTTCAGTAAAACAGCTCTTTTCTTGCACAGGAACTACCTGCCACATCTCACCACCTTATTAAATAGCAAGCTACTTGTATTCCTAACACTTAACATAAACCCTGACACCTAATAAATACCTGATAAATAATGAATGAATGTGTGTTCTTCAGTGAAACAGTCCACAGTGGAAATAAGAATAAGGGAATTGAATTCTTAGTTTTGCAAGTAAGAGTAAACACTTCCCAAGGCACCCAAAGTTAACAAAAATGCAGTATATGATGTAGATATTTATTAGAATTTATATAAGAAGTCTGTTGTTTCCAAGTCTCTCCTCCATAGACAGTATCTTCAATGATCAATCTCTTCATGGTGTTAAGATTTTAATTATGAACTGATGTTTCAAACATAGGTGGGCATACAAGCTGTTTTCTTAAAGACAAAACCTTTGTAATATTAAAAACAGGTATACAGGCATGTTTTCTTACTTGTTTTCAAAAAGAAATTGATAGTGTTCTTCAGAAACAGTCCACAGTGGAAATAAGAATAAGGGAATTGAATTCTTAGTTTTGCAAGTAAGAGTAAACACTTCCCAAGGCACCCAAAGTTAACAAAAATGCAGTATATGATGTAGATATTTATTAGAATTTATATAAGAAGTCTGTTGTTTCCAAGTCTCTCCTCCATAGACAGTATCTTCAATGATCAATCTCTTCATGGTGTTAAGATTTTAATTATGAACTGATGTTTCAAACATAGGTGGGCATACAAGCTGTTTTCTTAAAGACAAAACCTTTGTAATATTAAAAACAGGTATACAGGCATGTTTTCTTACTTGTTTTCAAAAAGAAATTGATAATTTCATGTGAACTATAAACTTCCTATTTAGAAATAATTAGACTCTTCTTGCATTAAATTCTTGGTTTTGTTCATCAGTTGATGATATGTGCATAGAAAACAGTATCTTTGTTTTCTTAGGAGATCATCTGCTTCTGAAATGAGACATATTTATCTTCTTCAGAAATAATTTCCCTTAATTGTGACACAACTAATTGTGGTATTCTAAATGTGGTATATCATCATTCATAGCAAATGTATAGCAAGTGTAATTGAACTCCAGCAAAACAAAGAATTTGTTTTACAGGACATTCACAAAAATAACCCAATTCTAGAAAATATGATCTTGTATTTAAATAAACAAAGAAGAGTGTTTCTAAAATTTTACCTAATTCAACCACAAAAAGATATTTTTAAACTCTAGACTTTGCAGCAGAGAAAGTGTTACTTTTGAAAAGAAAAAAAAATCAGAAAGTTACTATATTTTAAATATTAGCACTTATTTACAAAAACTCGAAATTTTTGAAATGTAAATATAATTCCTAGGCTTCAATGAAAAAACTGTTACAGTAAACCAGCATGAGTAACTAGATACACAGGGCTTGCCAGTACCATTGTGAATTCATTCTACTTCCTAATTTCTTTTGATTATCTTCTGTTGGGTGTTTAACAAAGCATGCATATTAAAAATTCCATTTATTTACATCTGTAAGTGGCTCTGAAGCTGTGACTTTCTTGGGCTAATGTGCACATAGCTAGCAAAGAACAAGTAGGCCAGGTGCAGAAGTGCACGCCTGTACAATCCCAGCATTTGAGAAGCTGAGGCAGGAGGATCGTGAATTTGAGGTCACCCAGAGCTTCGGTCAAGGCCAAACTGGACTGCACAGCAAAAACCCATTTCAAACAACAACAAATCACCACCAAAACCCAAAACAAAGCAAAAAGTAAAAGTATGCTTTCCGGTGAGACAACCAACAGACAGACCAGACTTCGCCTTTCCCAACTCTACAGGCTAAAAAATGACACCTTCTGTTCTCTCACCTTTCAAATGCTAAGTATCATAGAAGGTTCTTCTCATGGAATGAAACAGCAGTTGTAATGTCTGTACACAGTATGGGCACACAGTGGAGGCTCAATAAATAGAAATCCTTGCCCAGTACAGACAAGCAGGTCCTTATTTGGCTCTACTCACACTGGTCTTGGAATCTAAGGGAAAACTGACCTCTTCTTTCCTTAGGGCTTTTGTATTAGCCTCTCTTGCAAAGCTCTTCCCATATCTTTGCAATGGCTGCCTTCTGATCACTCAGATCTCTGAGCAAACATCCCATTCCCTAACCATCTCTATGTGTGGAAAATTTTACTTTACAAGCTGCAACAGTATTTCCCACCTTACATGCCCTTCTACACTGGGCAGTAAGTTCTCTGTCCCTTCCCTTATATTTGTGCAGGCCTCTGACTGCTCAAGGAGTAAGCCTATGACATACACTATGCTGTACAATTTCTGAAAAAGTCCATATAAAGAAATGTATACATGAATGTTCATAGCAGTGTCATGCATATTAGTAAAACAAAATACAAATAAGAAAATCCATCAACTGTTGAATGAATAAATACAACGAGGTATCTAGCCACACAATAGAATATTATATGGCTAAAAAAGGGGATGGAGTAGCAAGAGCATGCTACATACAACATGGATGAATCCTGAAAACAAGTTTCTAAAGAAACAAGCCAGAAGATGCCATAATATACAATTTCACTTCGATGAAATGGTGAGAATAGGTAAATTATACAGACAGAAGGTAGATTAATGGTTGCCTTTCGAAGAAGCTGGGGAGCTAATGAGTACAAGGGTTTCTTGTTGGGGAGATGAAAATATTCTGCAATTAGATAGTGGCAATGGTTGTACAACACTCAGTAAAAATAAACCCACCTTAGAATTCTGAATTCTATGGCATATGAATTATACTCTAATTATAAGAAATTTACTATAAAAATACTTTAGAAATGTTAAACCTCTGACGGGTTACTTGGTGAAAAAGAAGGATTACGGCAGGTTCTAACTTGTTCTTAGAACATTCACTGTTAAGAGCTCAGAGCCAGGACACCCTGCAGCTGTCACTGTAAAAAAGCATGGGGAGGCTGCATGTAAATACTGCTGTCCACAGCCCTAAGATGCCAGGGGACAGTAGCCAGCAGCAGCTATGGGGCGTATGGGAGGAGACTCTTCCAGACAATTCCAGCCTCAAGCCACAGAGTCACCTCCTCAATGTAAAAGCTTTCTGCCTCCTCAATCTTTTTTGCGGGGGATACTGGGGATAAAACTCAGGTCCTTGCACTCGTGAGGCAGGCAGGGGCACTGCCCCCTCAATCTTTCTGCCTAAAGCCACGTACACAAGTGGAACAGAAATAAACCTGCTCTGCCATCTCCATTTGCATTCCTGCTGCAGAAAATCCACAATAAAATCAAGTGGCATTTTTTCCACTCAGTATGAGGAAGTTTGTTACACAGCAACAGTGACTGGAGCACATCAAACAGCTGTCACTCCATGTCCTTCTTGTTAACTGCTCTTTTTCCACTTGTGGGAAAAACTTACAGCATCACATCTCTTCCACTATAAATAAGTTTTCTGACAGTACAGTAAAATGCCCAATGTATAGTAGATACACAATAAATTAAGGAATAATTTGTTGAATAAGTTAAGGAACTACTGTTGAACCTTTAGCACAAAGAACATTGGTCTGGAGCTCCCATCGATGTGAACTCTAACGTGTAGGTATAGCAATCTCCCAACAAAATAATTTCCAATGCTTAAATATGAAATCTTATAATATTACAAATTCAATAATCACTATAATCTTTGTTTATAAGCCCAAGACAATTTACTGAATTTTGCTGATATCACTCAATTATTACATTTCAATAAATGAAGTAATGGGCATAAAAAATAAAATGCATTGTCACCACATAAAATTGATATAATCTACTTGTGCTTATAAAGTTCATAAATGTAATTTATATATAATGTTGGCCCTAAAATAAGCCCATTAAACAAGTCAAAGCCAATTAAATTTGATGTAGGTTGAAATCTACATAAAAGTAGTAGTAAGTATCCAATATTAAAAAAAGCTTAAATGGCTGCCCCTGTTAAACACAGCAGGGATGTTCTTTTTCACAGGAATGGAACCAAAGCCTACCTCTGGTGCCAGATACTCTGGTGTGCCACAGAACGTCTTCATGGTGGCTGCATCTGTGATCCCTTCTTTGCAAAGTCCAAAATCTGTAATTTTTATGTGGCCATCTTTGTCCAGCATCAAATTCTCCAACTGCATTTTAAGAAAAATGATAAAATTTGTTCTACAGTCTTAAAAATAAGAAAATGATGTTTTGAAATGTTTTGAATATTGAGTAAGGTATTTTGGAAAGAGCAGTTATAATTAAGAGAACTTTCAGCATTTGCAAACCCTGTATCTTCATGTGTAAAAGGAAATTTGCTTCACAAAATCTTTCATGATGATGAAATTACCAATTTTTAAACAGTGGGAAGGATGGGATAGCTTTAAGAACCATGAGCATGTTTTGAGAACAAAAACCGAATCAGCTTTTCAAAGCAAACATTAATCTTTTTTTTCCAAATAAAATGTGATTTTAAAAAATCCCAAAGAGATAAGAATATATACAGATGGTTTTTACCAGTTTCTTTTGGGAATTTATTGCTGTGACAATATATTCACTTACAGAATTTGGCAGTGGCTATAAATCAAACCTAAATCTTATTTTATATGATAAGATGATAGTCTCTTTGTCATAGAAATATAAGCTCTTTTAAACATAAAAAGAAAATCAAAGTCAAACATTCAAAAGTTAATAAAATACAGAGCACAAATGTTAGAAAGCCGGAATATCTTTGAGCCCATTAACTCAAAAACACCAAAGAGAATCTTAGAGATCTAACCAAGTGGCAAGACCATCTGTGTCAAGTGAAAATTATTAAAGGCAAAGAAGGCAAGACTCTGTGCAAGGACAACACAGTTAAAAATACCAATATAACTGACCACTTCCCTACCAATGTGAGCTCAAGCTATGATTACCCTTACAGAAAGATAAGTGAGTTGGGATCATATAATCTTATACAGAAAAACTACAAACATGTGAAAAATATATTAGCAGGACAGATAATAATTAACTTGTATTTAAGGTGTGGGTACTTATTCTATTCCTTAATTTTTTCCATTTATTCGTTCTACTTAATGTGATGACATTTCAAAGTACTTACCTGAACCCTAACATCAACACCAAATTTAAAACAGTATTCCACACAAGAATACGAACATGCAAACCGCGACGACACCACACACTGCCGTATTGTCACGTATTTTATAAAGCGGGCTGTCAACACAGGTAAGTATGCCTCGCTCACCAGAGACCAGAGCAGACAAGTCTTTCTTTAAAGTAGCACACAACGAGCCGTCGACTGAAATGAAAACTCAACACGTTTAAGGTGCAGTGCACTTCAGAAAGGTAAGGCTTTCCATAGCATGGAACACACCTTAAATATACTACTGAACCTTTTCAAAAACAGAAAGTTTTTTTTTAATAATCCAAATAGAGATATCTTGCATCTTCCCTACCAACTAAAACCTAGAAGCCAAGGCTAATTTACTCAAACAATAGTAAGTCTTAAACACCACCAAATCCAATCAGAAACACCAAGAAAGTCCCTCTTCTTTCTTCCTACTATCTTTTTTATCTGCCTTGGTCTTTTTCTTTCTCATGCCTCTGATTTCCCTCTTTTCTTCTCTTTCAAATACCACTCCTTCATCCTCCTTTCCCTGAGAGAGAGAAGTATACATTGGAGCTTTCTCTTGGTTTGCTGACTAAAAATGTACATGGCCCATTCTTAAGCTTTTAAAGTATGCTTATTGTTCTACAATATAAAACGTTGCATTTTTAAATGCCACAATAAAAACGTAAAAATATTAGTCTTTTAAATCATAATACATAAAAATTCTCAAAAAATTTCAAAGAATGTGTAATAATACTACATTGGACAGGATGTGGATTCCATTTCCACTCACACCTAGTACACTGTCCACCATGCAAAAATCTCCCCACTTCTTTATATGTAAGGGAAAGTGTTTCATGGGAACATCACAGCATGCACAACTTCAGATTCTGACAAAGCTAATTTGAACAGGTGGATACAGAAGAGTCAAAATGTATAAACACTGGTGGGGTGCGGGTACACACCTGTTATTTCACCTACTGCAGAGGCCGAGGCAGGAGAACTGCTAACTCAAGCCCAGTCCGAGTAACTTAGCAAGACCCTGTCTAAAATAAAATTAAAGAGGACTGGAGCTGTAGCTCAATGGAAGAGTTTGTGCTGAGCATTGCCTAGCAGAACTGAGTTCACCCCAAGGCCAGGGAAAAGACTATAAACATGGTTTTAAATATTAAGCAATATATACATATCCTAAAATCCTGACTTCCATATGACTTCTTACCCTCATATCTAAGCTCCAAGCCTCATGTCAAAGGTTGAAGGATGAGGAAGAAGACAGATGTGAAAAGCAAAGACAGGGTGGATGAGTACAGTGAAGGTGGCCAACTCTTTCCAGATGGCCTAGAACTGAGGGGCCTAGACTTCAAAGAGCTGAAGCTGTCACCCTACTTGTTCTATAAATCAACTTTTTAAAAAAACCAAAGGTCCTGGGCTCAATCCCAGTACCGCCAAACACACACACACACACACACACACACACACACACACACACACACACATACACACATACACACCCAAACAAAGATACAGGAGAAAATAAAGTAAGTAAGCCCAAAACACAATGGAGCAAAGCAGCATTACTGCATGGGAGGCAGCAGAGAGGAAATGGATGAGACTCTGGGTCCCCGTTCCAGGGCTTACATTAATGACATCTGAACTTCACCCCAGCCTTTCTCTCTCTGTGACCTTGGATATACTATTAAATTCTATGTGCCTCGATTTCATCCGCAAAACAGGGTAAATAACACTAACAATCCAACAGCAAGGTTTTAAGAATTCAGTGAGATATTAAAAGGAGAACTTAAAGCATAGCAATTTCATAATTTCCAAGTCAGTTACTTTACAAGTGTTTATCTTATCCCATCAATTATTTCCTTTTTCTTACTATCTTAAAATGTCATTCTGGTAGATGACAAAATAACATAAAAAATATGAATAGCGATGCATCACCTTTAAAAAATCCCCCCCTCCAAAATCACCAACTTAAACTTGAAAAAGGATTTATCAAGAAGGTAGTAAAATGTCCAGTCTTATTACAGAATGGATGATTTACACCAGACGCATTAACAAAGTTCCCTTTAAATAAAGGTATAAGGATTATTAGTGGGGTGATTCACAAACCTGTGCAATGCAGAGTCACCTAAATGTTTTTTTCAAAGTGTATCAGTGACTCAGACAACAAAGACATCTGGAGACCAACTCTGCTGTCCATTTACCACTAACATAATTGTGATGTTGTCACACATTCTTAGGACCCCTTCAACTGTGCAATGGGGAAGAAAAATGTTTACAAATGACCTGTGTTTGGTTCTCTATCCTAAATCTCATGGCTTTTCTCTTTTCCTTATTAGCCGTAAAACTCAAAATGCAAATGGTCACTGAGACAATTCAAGTACCCTCTATTTCTAAGATCATAAAAGCATCTGTTTTATAGCTGGAATTCCTCAACAATACCTAGAGAGCAGGGCAGCATGGTTATGGCTAATGGACATATCTACTGGCAAGAATCGGATGAAGGATTCAAATAGGTTATGAGGAAAGAGATTATGTATTAAAATCTGAATAATACTATTTGTATCAGTTAGAGGGTTGTCATTTAAAAAGTTCTCACTTCCAGGGCGAGGAGATGGTTATAGCTCAGTGGTAAAGCACTTGCCTAGCATGCAAAAGGCCCTAGCTTTTCTCCCTGCATACAAACAAGCTCATACAAGTTCACACTTCTGAGGAGAGGAAAAATATATTAAACATAATATTTCATCAAATTTCCTCCAAAAAATGGCAATACTTTTTGACTAGTTCAAGTGGACAGGCATTATTTGACAGAGGTCTCAATTCAGAGTGTACATGAAGAAATGGAAAACTATGAAATCTTTTTTTCCTTTGTGCTTTGTGGATAAAAAGTTATAACAAAGTTATATATTTCTCCCTGCTTTTGTTGGTACCTAGAATAAAATTATATTCTTAAGATCTTAGCTATCTTTTATCTTTGCTTCCCAATCTTGCACACTTCATGGTACAATAAAAATGATATTTAGGCATTCCAACATCAGTGTACAGGCTGCCTGCAGCCACAACTGATGGTCTGGAGAGTCCTCTGACCACTCTGCGGGCCGAGGGAAGGCATGGCTTGGGCACATCAGAAGCCAGACTGGGAAGCTCTGTTCCTATACAGGCCAGGCTATCGATTAGAAATCTATGTATAGAGTATGATTTCACTTAAATTATACTTTGATCAAACAACAGACTGAAAATAATTCCCTCATCATTAACTCACACGTTCCATTTGGCACAGATACATCAAGCTCTGTTTCAGGCACCAGGGGTGCCTCAAGTCCACCAAGGCAGTAATTCCTGCTCTGTACATTGTAGATTTAGGCTTATGGGCATTCAAATGCCAAAATGTTACAAGCTGACCTGTAGGAATTCAACAATCATGAAATTAAATGTGCTGAAAGAATTATAGAAGGAGAAAAAAATCCTCCCTTCTGACCCTCCCAGTGCTGAAAAAGACTCAGTATACAATAATGGAGATTTCCCCCCACCACCCACCCAGCTGTCGAGCTATTTAAGAATGTGTACAAATACAAGACATAGCACAATAGCACAATTTAGATTTAGAGGCAGCAGTGGCTTAAAATTTCTGCAAAGAATGCAGAATAAGTCTTGTTGGAAGTGGCAGTGGAGAAACAGGTCTTGAGACAGAGCACGCAAAACAAGCACTTTTTCATTGGGCCTCTGTATATTCAAGGTCAATATCAGGGGCTAACGAAGATTAAGAGAGCTGTGGTCAAAGACTGGAGCTATCAGTGAGTCTTAGAAATAATCTAACCCTCTCTGGCTGTTTCTCATATTAATGATATAAATGGTTAAGTTCTCTCTAGTTAGGTAGAAAACAAGATTAGATTTTTATAAATAGAATATGACACCAATTTATGTAATACCCTCCTAAACCTCTTGGAAAAATTAATTCTTAATGAACTCCACTGTTAATACATTTACTTTTGCAGATGTCCTTGTTTAGCCTTACCTGTGCTTGGATGGCCACAATCAATACAAATACAGGTTACCCTTGCTAAATAAGGAGTAATAGAAATGTTTTTAGTAATTGCACTGCTGAAGCCAGGGTGATGGCACATGCCCATCACCCTAGCACTTGGGAGGTTGAGGCAGGAGGATTGTCATGAGTTAAAGGCCAGCCTAGGCTCCACAGAGAGTCAAAGGAAAGCCTGAACTATATGGCAAGTCCCTGTCTCAAAAGAACCCAAATGAATAAAATCAATTAATTAACTAAAATAATTACGCTGATGAAGAAGTCTTGCAAGAGATTTCTTCCAATTTTTATGCTATCATGAGTAACATTATTTTTTAGAACCGGGCATGTAGGCGCACACCTGTAATCCCAGCACTTGGGAGGCTGAGGCAGGAGGATTGCTATGAGTTCGAGAGCAGCCTGGGCTACATTATGAGTTCCATGTCAGTCTCTCAACTACATAGTGAGACCCTGTCTCAAAAAAAAAAAAATTTTAGTTTTTAGTTTACTAAGTAATCATAAGCAATTCACTTTCTAAAGAACAGCAAAGATTTCAAAAATTTATGTTATTATGAACACTGAGTTATTAGGAAACAGGGCCAATAACATATGTTATGTCACCTGCATATGAAATAAGGCTTTGCTCCCAAGGCAAAGTGGGCAAGTGGCAGGTAGGTATCAGTTTGCTTGACAAGTACAGTTACTGTAAGCATCTCCAATAAATCTGTACCGACACAGTCATCACCTCATTAGTAATAGACAGACAAATCTGAAACCTGTCAAAGTGGGTACATAAATTAGTTCTTGATCATCCTGTTTTTAGAAAATCTGGTATAAATATATTTGAAAAATTCATTTGCTTAATTTGTTCAGTAGCTTAATCTGAATTTTAACTTTATAAAGATCTATAGTTAATCTAATGCATTAGCCTATCTAATTTCAGTTCAACTCTGCAAAGACAGAATATTGTAGTGAAAAAGAACATTAGACCAGGAGCTGGATCCACAGTACCATGGTTTGGACCTCGAATGCACCCCTCCCCAACCCCCAAAGGCCTATGTATTAAAGGTTTGGTCCTCAGAGTGGTGCTATTTGGGAGGTAGTGGAAACTAAGAGGTAGGGTTCAGCAGGGCTATGTTCCTGAGGAAGAAAGTGGGACCTGATTCTACCCCTTATGCCCTTTGCGTCTTGGCTGATGAGATGAGTTTACTCTATCTCATACTTGTTGCTACCATGACCATACCGCACCCTCCTCTGGGGCCCAAAGCACTGGGTCAGCCTGATGCTCCACTGAACTTCCCAGACCATAAGCCAAAATAAGCCTTTTCTCCTTATAAGTTAACCATCTAAGTATTTCGTTACTGTGACAGAAAGCTAACACATGGGTTCCAATAATCTTGACTATGCCACCAATGTAGTCCATTACTCTTAGTGACTCACTTACTTCTAGGCTTGAAGAACATAATTTGTAAAATACAGACCAGTTCTAAATTTCTGTGACCCTACCTCCATGATGCCATTCTGTTATGCACACTCTGTACCATGGACATGCATAGAATGTGTGCCTATTTGAATGTCTGGTTTCTTGCACTACATGTCCTCTCTGGTGCACAGCCATGCACACTACATGTCTTTTCCCTGGTGCACATTCACATGAATGTGTGCCGCACACTGACTCAGGCCTTTAACTTATGAGTACATTAGAAAACAAACTGTCCAGCAGAGTTAGTGGTCTCAGCACACTGTAAATACACACTGATTTTTCATATATCAATAGGTACTTTATGTGGTCCATTAATGAAGTTGGTCTAATTCCATTATCAGAAAGGATGGGGCAACAGAATTCATACCTAATGAACTTCATTATACCAGTTCATTGATTCAGTTGATTACAAATGGTTAAGGGATCTTATGTACATAAGATCCTGAGATAACTGACAATGTGAAATAGGAAGAAAAGGGCTAAAGATGTAGGGAAAGTGGGAAGGGTAGGAGAAAGGGAATAAGGGAAAAGAAAAAAATGTGAGAAAATGAAAAGATGGAAATAAAGTGTTTGTAAAGGGGGAGGATAGGAGGGGGTGAAGGGAGGGCAGGGACAGGGGGAAAAAATGAGAACCAAGACCTGTTATGTAAAGGTACAAGATCCCAATAATGAATGTAACTGTATTGAATACCTAAAATGTACCAATAAACTCAATTAAAAAAAAAAAAGTAACTCTATGGCAAATGGTTAAGGGAGAGTACCGATCAAGAAGACAATCCTGGGCTGGGGATTTAGTTCAGTGGTTCCGCTGCCTGACTTGTAAGCACAAGGACCTGAGTTCGATCCTGGGGCCAAAAAAAAAAAAAAAAAGACAATCCTAACTAATATTCTATAATCAATGGTAGTAATCCAATGAACAGTTTTTCCTTTTGGTTTTATAAACTAATAATTCTACTGGCTTTAAGTATATTAGGTATGTTACCCATTACCTTCAAAACGATTTTTATTTCCTTAAACCTAGGCCTCTTCCATTCTTCCTCTCACAAATGAGATTCAGAAAACATGATGTAAGAGTGCATTTGGGAACAGAATAGAACATTTCTATGCACATTTGGAAAATTAACAATATATTTTATCATGTCATACAACTAATTTCTTCAAAAGCACCTATCTGTATTCATTAACTATTATAGAATTATTGGAACAGGCACATATCAGACATAAATATCTCAAAATTCTGCCTTATTTCTAGTTACAGAAAGATTCAAGCTAAATAAAAACATATGATTAAATTGTATTCACTCAGTCATCTCTAAACTAGGTGTTTAATAGTCAAATAGTTAATTTCTTCCTAAATATATTTTAAAACATAAAAAATTAATAAATAAATTATACACACTATTTCACTGAGTGTATAACATACAATGTAACTGTATCAAATAATACTTATTTATAAGCTAGCTACTCACTAAAGACATAACATGGAGCATAATGGAGCAAGTTGAAATGATGTAGACAACTGCTTACATGATCAGATAAGAATAAAGTTTTTTAGTGTTTTTTAAAAATAAAATGGAGCATTACTCAGGCATCAAGAATGAGAAACTAGAGATATTTATAGCTAAATAGACTCAAACTGAGACATCCATTTAGGCATTTATTTCTTAAGCAAAATAAATAGGACACGTGCAAATACTGTAAGTTTCTCTGGCATGAGAAACTGAAAGTGTAAATGAGGACTACAAGGTATAATAGATAATGTGAAATAGGAAGGAAAGGTACAAAGGGGAAGGGGAAGGGGAAGGGGAAGGGAAAAGAAGGGAATGGAATTAACATGAGAAAAACATAGAAACAAAGTCTCTGTAGATAGGGAGGTGTGGAGGGGTTGACGGGAGGGCAGGGGAATGGGAAAAAAACAGGAACCAAGATGGATTATGTAAAGGTGCAAATTTCCAATGATGAATGTCATTATACTGTATATCTTAAATGTACCAATAAAATTAATTCTAAAAAGTAACCTAAAATATGTTTTTTTAAAGTGACATGGAAGTATGGCGGTAATTTTTTTTACATATATAATTCATATCACATAACATAAAATTTCAGAAAATTTTAAGGTAACATTTTTATAAAACAAATCACATCTTAAACTAGTACTTGATCAAAAAAACAATTATGCAGATGAAGATTATATGATTTATGATTTACTTTTTAAGGAAGTGACATTGTAACATTTACAGTCTGTTTAAAATGTCAAAATGAAAATGTCCCAAATAAGATTACTGTATTCATAACAATGACATAAGAATTACTATCTTAAATCTTATATACTCCAGGGATCAGTAACCTGTGGCATGTGGACCAAATCTAGACCACTGCCTGCTTTTGTAAATAAAGTTTTATTGCAGCACAGCAAAACATATTCACTTACATAAGATCTGGAGCAGGTTTATCTTCCAATGGCAGAGCTTAACAGTTTCAACCGAAACATCAAGAGCAGAGAAAACTCAAATATTTACCATCCATCCTTTATAGAATGTTTGCCTATCCTGAGGTATTCTAAGGTCTCAACATAGAAAAATGTAGAGAAATCCAATCTCTATTACCAATAAAAGAAATACAGTACTTCTATAAATGAAAATCTAAGCAAATTAATAAAAGGCTATATTAAAATGTTTGAGGCATTTAAACCTACCAAAAAGTTTCCCTTCCAGTGGTGTTATTATAAAAGTTCCCCATAAACACTGTACAGTAATTCTTCACAAACATAAATGTTAGAATAGAATGAAGCCTGTAAAATGTTATGTGTAAATTTACCTGACTTTTACTCAGATGTTTAACATTTCTCCAATTATAACAGTTACAAAAAATAAAACTATTGTTCACTATTATAGATATAGGTGACCATAGTAGTCAGGAAGAAGTTATTTCGTACATCAAAAACTCAGATCTAAATGGATCCCCATCCACATTAGTGAATGAAATTTCCTGTCAAATGCAGCAAACTACATTCCTAAACAGTGCTGTTTTCCAAACTAAATCTGCTTTTCTCAAAACTATGCAACTTTGTAATTGCTTTGTTTGTCCCTATAGTCTCTGCAAAAACAAATTTTGATTACTTTTTTTTTTTTTACCTTGAGATCACGGTACACAATCTTTCCGGAATGTAGATAGTCCAAGGCTGAGACAATTTCTGCACCATAGAAACGTGTGCGGTCCTCAGAGAACACCCGCTCTCTCGACAAATGGAAAAACAGCTGCAGGGTAAACAGCAGGGACAGGATTGTAATAATTACTGATTTAGTGGGGGAAATTAACACAAACATAAAACACCTCTCATCACCATATTGTGGTGATAGATAGTGTACTCTCAGTGGACACAGCACTCTTAGACAGCAGCTGGCTTATCTTTTCCAAGTTTCCAAGGGGGAACTGCGAGCTGTTAAATCAGCGTTTTAATCAATATACCAATCTTGTTTAAGGCATTCTGCTTGCTACCCATTTAACCTTCAGTTACCAGAGGAAAAAAGTACGCTTCATTAGAGTGTGTCTCCCCCTTGCTGTACTACTGCTTATCTCTTCTAAGACCTAGGTATGGAGATGTTATTAAAACAAATGAACAGAAGCATGGACGTAATATTTTTATTTAATCTACATCTTACTTTCAAGAAAGGACTGCTGATCTGCTCAAATGGACTTACATGAATTTGTTACTCTATAACTGTTGATTCATCCTATCTCTAGAAATAAATTCAAAGTTTCAGTCAACATGTTTGACAGTGAGAAACCTTAAGGCTCAAAGTTTTTCATCTACTTTAATCACATCTAAAATGGGCTGAGAAGCTTCTATTACTCCGGCATAGTTCTCAATCTATGTCCTTTTGTTTCCAATAATATTTAACTATAATGCCAACCTTTTATCATATGATCACCTAAAACTGTAAGTCAATTCATTTTCTAGTTAACCACTCTTTCACCCAAAAGGCCATAAATATTTCCTGAGTGCTTACTGTGACCAAGCACCCATCCCCAACTCTCTACTTAAAATACTGCAAATCATCAGCTCCTCATTCAAATGCATACATGAAGCAGGGGAGTGTCAAGAACTATGAATTGACTACCTGTCTTTGTTGAACAATTTCACTATATTAAGAAATCTGCCAAAGATAATGACACATTATTTATCATGTTAAGTACAATTCCAGGTAACATGATAGGCACTCAGTTCATACACGTGATTAAAGGACAGTAAACCAGCTGCCATACATACCCTAGACTACAGTGTCTTCATATGAATCAATAACTCGTAATGCTGCTACAAAACTGGTAGGAGAAATGTGTTGCACACACTATAAGTCATAACTTCAAGTAATATAAAACAGGTTCCCCACAGATTCGGGGGGATTATATTAAAACTAAAATATTTGGACTTTAAACTTTACGGCTCCCTACTCTATTGCTATAGCTCACCAAATCTAAGAAGGTGCTGACTGAAACTGCATTACAATGCTACGTAATATCAAGAAACAGACAAGTTATTAATAACATGACATACTACGTAGTATAAAAAACTCACTACATAAATGTTAACTACCTAACAAATGCTCAAATATAGTATGTCAAAAACAAAAACACTTTATACAATTACTCAGGAATATTTTTACAAATTCATTCATTTTACATAGGCAAATGTGTCATTCATGCATTACCATCCACACAAGGACAGGCAGTAGAAAGAAGCATGGTTACCAATAAGACAATTTCTAAAAATTTCTCAGTTTGAATAATTTCAACTATTTTATATAAAATATTAGTAACTGATGAATAAAGCTCTGTGATGGCTATGCAGGCTTATGGCAGTCTTCTAATGGGACAGAGATAGTGATTAGGTTTCTAAATTTTCTTAAAAGTATGTCAAGTCTACTACTGCTCATCCATTTTACAAAAAATATAGATCCTTCTTAAATTAATATAATATATTCAGGATTCTAGATCTTTATTTAGATCATGTATCTTCAACTTGTCTGCCAGCCAATCTTTGTAAAAATATCAGCTAAAAATTTATATTTAAGGGGAAGATTTCTATTTATTTCTCAACCCGTTGCCATCTGATGTCTACCCTTGCTACTTTATGGGATTTATTCTTGTGAAGCTAACGAACCACCTCTTAATTGCCAAAGTCAACGATCTATTCACAGTCTGCATCACTCCTTGCTGTTCTGGTGCTTAGGATATCACTGCTCTCCTCTCTTTCTCAAAACATGTTTCTTGGCTTTAGTTAATGCAACTCTCATGGTTTTCCTCCTGTCCAGATCATACTTCTCGGTTTCCACTTTGGCTTTAAACCACCTCTCCAATTCTGTATTCACTTAGAGAGCATCAATTATTTTAAAGTCACTCTGTTGGACACTGGGAAGGGAAAGAGAGGGAATACAATGAAGATTAAGACATAATCCTATCTTTACAGCACTAATTGTGGTAATGTTCTCCCAAGTGCATATTTATCTCCAAACTCAACACATACACATTAAGCAGGTATAGCTATTTGTTAAAGGTTTCAAAAAAATTCCCTGCCATTTTGACTTCTAACCCAATGAAGGAAGAAAGTTATGATAAACTTTGTATTCAGATATTATCAAGAATTTGGAGGCAGATTATACTGGAATGATTTGGAGATGCATCACAGATAAAATATATTTCAATTAAGTTTGGGAGTGGGCATCTCACAAATGGAAAATAATAAGGTAAAACCGAACAGGATTACTACTCTAGCGTAGCCTAGCACAGTACCTACACATAATAAATAATAAACCTTTGCATTAATTCTAAAGAGAAAACAATGGTAAGGAAACACACATTCAGGTCAGTGACAGGATTTAAGTGAAAGAGAGCTCTCAGGCCTATTTATTTAGGACCTTGACCATCATTCTATGACCTTGAATTCTATGTGTAAATAAGCAATGTTAAAAGGTTTGGAAGAAAAAAGAAAAACTTACAAAGAAAGAAAAGCAAAAAACAAACAAACAAACAAAAAACCACTAATTTTACTAAGACAACTGTGGCAGCAGTGGGTAAATAAAAGGTTCTGGGACAACGGTCAGATTAATATTTCATAAAGTGCAATTACAAAAAGTTATTGATCACATATATAGTATTAGCTGTTGTGAAAAGCTACAGACATGAGAGAAGATGGAACCATTTCACTATTCTACTGAGAATAGATACATACTCTACTAAAGCTATGACACTGACCACAGATCAGGGAACACATTTAAAGAATAAGTATCTTTGGGAACATCAAAAGTCACATTTGAACTGGAAGAGAACTTCTGAGGAATATCACCAAGGATGACAGAAACATACATTTCAGAGCACTCAATATTCCAGAGGGAACTGGCTTGTACCAGTTGGGTCAAGTCAGAGATCAATAATGTGGAGGTTTCCCTATTGTCAGCTAAGTAGGTATTGCTGCCAAGCATATAGTGGAAAAGAAGAGGAAGGGAGGAGAAGATTCACTGAATCTTATTATGATCTGTTGAAATTTAAAGAACCATTTGATAACATAGTTTGGAACTATGGGTCCCAAGATACAGAAGTAGGCATGGAAGTCACTTATATAGAAGAAATTGTTAAAACCAAAGAAGCAAAATATATACTCCAAAAATTCATAAAGAAGTGAAAAAAAGAATTACAGGCAGAATCATATGGCACTAAGATTCTGTAGTAGGATAATGACATAGAGTACTAAAAGAAGTACAAAGCAAGCCAGAATATAATATCTGAAGAAGTTACTGGACCTGGGAATTAGGACATTAGTTAGCATCCAGAAAACAGGTCTAAGTAGGTTGAAATGGATGTGGAATAAAGGTAGAAATGGTATGTGCCTGCCTCAGAAAAAAATGAATAAGATGAACCAAGATATTATTTAACCAGAAGATTTACAGTGCAATGTATTAAACAATATTTCAGGAAAACTTCTGCCTGAAAAAAAACACATGAGATTAGTCCTAAAATTACCCCTTTTCTGTGTAGGAGACATTTCTGATATATTATTCAGAAAAGAAAATCCCAGGAATAACTCAGAGGTTTCACTGATGAGAAATGTCGGACAGGAGAACAGTGAAGTAGATAGCGCTTGTGGGACAGGCCACGGAATCCTAGGCAATGCACAGTAGTGCTGAGCCTGGTGAGGACAAGGGGAGAAGGGCTGGGAGCCACGTATCTAATGATTCCTAGAGCTCACACAGAGCTGAGGGACTTTCAACTTCTAAGCAGTGAGAACAGAATCATCAGATTTGGTGAGAGTAGATCCTAAATATCCTACACACACAGAGGCATCCACGAGATGAAGCATGTATTCATGACTTTGGTGGTGGCGACCATTCCACAATACACACATGGATCATAGCACACTGTGTAGTTTAAATTTATATAACTTAATTTGCTCATTATAACACAATAAAGTTGAGAAGAAACGAATCTGAAAATTCCCCAAAACAGATGATGTAGAATGTGATCAGTAATTACTGGACACATGAATACAAAAAATATATAACCAACAACAAAGAGAAAAATAAGTTGATACAAACATACCTACAAATGACGCAGATGATAAAATTAACAGATATTGACACAAACACACAGAATCAATTCAGGGAAATGAAAACAGAAAAAAATGAGAATTTAGAGATATCTAAAAAAATATACTTGATGGGATTAACATTAGACACTGAAAGAAAAGATGATACACAAAATTTTAGTAAAAAATTATATAAATTAAAATTAGAAAGAAAAGAAAAAAGGCTCTGCTATTAGATATTATCAAGGAGTATAACACAAATGCAATGAAAGTCAGTAAAAGGTATTTGCAAAATAATGCCTGAAATTTTCCAAAACTCAATAAAAATGATGGGTGCACACTTTTAAATGTCTCAAACTCCATCAAGATAAAAATTCATACATGAACACTTAAAACATTAAGTTGGAGCACAATGAAATTAGTAAAAAGGAGAAAATTAAAAAGATAAAAAGAAAGTTTAAAATATCCCGAGAAAAACAACACCTTACATACATAGTAACAAACTGTACAATTCCCCAGACTTTTCCTCAGAGACTATATAACAAAAAGAACAATGGAACTATATGTACATAGTACAAAAATACACCAAAAAATTCTATAACCAGTGGAGACATCTATAAAATATGAAGCTAAGAAATTTCTTGCTTTGATTGGAATTGAGTAACAAGAAACCAAATT